CACTGATGCCTTACACTTGTAGTGGACCCAAAAACCACTAGTACGAATAACTGGGTTTCAGTTATATGTTGCCAAAAACGTAGAAATCAAGGAAATAAAAAGTTCACACAAAGTGAAACTCAATCAGAAGGTCAATAAAGGCAGTTAAACTGGAAGTGTTTGAAAACAGTGTCACTGAGTACAATTTACTAGAAATTTAGTCCCTAAAATAAGATTTGAAGTGTTGAATAATGTGATGACGACAAAGCTTGAGTGAATTTTTTATACGTTTGAAACGAAGCTTTGAGCTTCCTGTAAAAATTTCCAAAAGTAACCAAAGAGAGGTAGTCATAGACAGAGGTAAAACAAGCAGAAGACAGTGGGAGCAAGTCACCTTATATTTCCATACAATGGAGAAATGAAATGAGAAATGAACCAACTCTGCTTTTTAATAGATGTTAAGAATTATGTAAAAAAGTAGGGAGAATGATATAATGGAACATTATTTACGACTGCAGGATGTACAAAAGTATTCACGTTATCTTAAGATATCCTACTGGAGTTTTGCATTACTTTTTTTAAACATTTTGCTAGACGGTTATTCTGTGTGTAACGTTTCCTCAAGATACGACATATTATCGATCTCATGAATAATTTTACAATCGGTATAGCCACTGACCTCTCATTTATTGATCCAAAATTTTCCAACTCAATTTGAGCAGTAGCTATCATGGTTATTTAGATTTGTTTATGCTTTTTGAGGTAGTAGTAGTAGTATTTCAGAGTTATTGGGTTGGGGATCTATGATGCAATTTCCTTCGTATTTCGAACTCTTCAGCTAGGTGTATCTGATACTTATTTGGTGATATTATCCAGCTGAAATTCAAAATCAGCACATTTCACTACAAACACACTACAGAGTTCTCCAATAGGTAAGTGAGTCATCATTGGATGTTGTGTCTCAGGTATTATTTGTTTGCTATAAATGTTCTATCTGGAGGTTTAATAATTGATTTTAGGTTGGAATTCATCATAGACTGACATCAGTTGGAGGAATGTCGGAAACGTGGAGGCACTGGACAGGTGTGTCGTCCTAGTATGGGGATCCTCAGCAGTGCGCACCTATGACCTTCAGGTCCTGTGGCCAGCACGTTTCCATTGACCCACTGGGTCGGAATCCAATGGTCCATATTCCCAAATTTTGTCAGTTCACGATATAGCGCAACCAACATCCGATATCGTCGTTGAGTAACTGCTCTCATGTTCAACCTGAATAATTCCATTGGTCACGAATTCTTATTGGAACTATGGGAATCACCTCTCGAAGTTAGTCACCAATGAGCGCTGGATTATTTCTATCTGGAGGTCACCTAACGTTATGTTTGATTTTCTTATGCTTTATAATAATGAGAAGCTATTCAAAAATTTGATATTTTATACTAGAATTTACTGAATTCTTCACAATAACGGTGTAGATGTTATTTTCGTCGGTTACATATTACATTACTGAACACAGTGATTGTCTGTTAAATCTGAACTCTTGGATGGGGAAGATATTTTGTGTAAGGTGTATTTGCATACCTAACGTTGAACTTACAATTTTATGCTAACTTGTTTGATCTACAACGAAAGTTTTTGATTTTCCAAGTATACACTGTCACATACATTTCCGTCTACTACTTTCATATTTAGTAATGATGAATAGTGGCTAGCAGTGGAATCCAGGATGATCATTTCGTCCTATTTAGGACTCATCAACTGGATTTACCTGTCTCCCAGTGAGTGATGTATTTTTATATTATTTGACAAAAAGTGAATGAGAGGCATTTGAATTAGTTAGAATGTACAGAGACGCATTGTGATGTTGTACTCAAACAGATGTCACATACTTATCAAACGGCAAAGTTAATATTCTGCTCTAATAACTTAATCTCATATTACCGAATACAACATACTAAAACATGCCATGCAGATCATGGGAACAGAATTATGTCTGTATATATTGCAAAGTTTCTTCTTATGGCCCAGTTCGAATTAATTTTGTGCCACCAAAGCCAATGAGGAAGTCGTTTCTTCAGAGAATAAAATCTGTACAACTTATGGCATGGTTATCTTCCTATATCGTTGGGATTTTACAATTATGTTTCATTTATAATCTGTTTACCCAATACTTAACTTATTCAATTCGGTTGGGTCAAATTTTCAGCTATAAAATCTACCATTTGTTAAAAAACGTGTGTTACAATAATCCCAGTAAACGCAAAAGTGTTTTCCTCGCTGAAAACTATACATTTTACTGGGGCAGGGGGGGGGGCGGATCATGGAGAAGCTCTCTCATCAATATAACCACAAGTTGTCGGACACTTATTATCAGGAAGAAAATTGATAAACGGTAACTCTATCTCTGAGCTCAGTTGTTAACAATCTTGGGTGACTAGTCTTGTTTTCGTTGGGGACTAGATTTGGTGTCAACAAGGCAACTTGAATCACATTAATTAGGCTTGTGGCTTTCTTCTAGTGCTACTACACAACATTTCAAAATGCGATGGCGAGGCACACAAAGTTTTGTAACAAATTGACTATTTGAAGTAATCTGTGCTTCGATAATCGCACTCAGTGCATTATCTTTCGAAAACAGAGTCCAACCTGCAATTCATTTCACGCTGAAAGTCACTTGACACTTAGGAAACGGTTGGCAGATCTTAGTTTGAGTAAGTTTCACTCGCGTCATAAACCTAGGTGTATGAAAACCTCCGACCATTTACCTTACCTCAAGATTAATACATCTAGGCAGCAATCTACCTTACTGTAAATTTATCAAACTGCATTAGAAACAACTGCTTCAGCTATAATTAAGCAAGGAGATAAAACTATATGAAATTCGTTTGTCACCAATCTGATGACAGGAGTGATGTGAACATTTATCATTGGATAGTTAGGCAGAACCCGAACGAAATAGCTATACTGATGGCTTAGCTCAGGCAATCATTGAAGAATAATGGATGTTAAGCCCAGAAGGATGACGGAGAATATGAACCTGGTTTCTGTCTTCTGTCACGGAAGCATGATCTGTCAACTCCTCAATTCTGAATTCTAGATTTCCCTCTTTCCTTAACATTGCTGTTGAAGTTTCCTACTGTGTTTAGTGCAATCACATTTATTTGATACACCTCACAGCCATATACTATAACTTACTAACCAAGTTCGCTCTAACTACAGATCTCTTACCCCACATTATAGCATATTTATGCTCCATTGCATACATTACAATAGCCACTTTCACCTAGATTATCGATCCTAATACGGTCATCATTCTGCATTTGATTAGACATCTGTGCTCCGACCTTTCACTACCGGCCAGTCTGACCTAAGTCTCTGCATGGTACTCAACAGATCGAACTACTTTGCCTAACTGCGTCAGTGGGATCTTCAAGCAGATAAAGTTTATCTCTCAGTGAGCCTGTAACTTTGAATGCTATCTCAATTCTAGCCCTATTGAATATTCCATGTGAAGTTTCTAATGTTCCTTCCTGATTTGGTAGCACAACAGAAGCCTTGAACTCCCCTCTACTTTTATTGTCATCATTATTCTTATCACCTTTACACTTCCTATATGTTCTTAAGAAGTTCATCATCAACTCTCGAGGACAGTTATCGATAAATAGTGTTTCCTTTATGTTTCGACTGTTTATTGAAGTCCCTATATTCCTCAGTGAGTTCTTCACCTCAATTATTTAAACATTTCAGTAAACCTCCTTTAACTCACATTCGATGATATGACCTGAAATCGAGATACCTGTTAGAGTGTTTTGTTTTCCTGAAGTATGCAAACCACCGTATGCTACACATTTCATTTCGCAATTCAATCTAATTCCCTTTGTTCCTTTTCCAACTCGTAAGTGAACTGGGACACACCTACTACTGAGGTGACGTGTGAAGAAACCAATGATGTGTTCCAATTTGGACACAGCAATCATGTAATTCCCATATCTCAAGAGTAGAAATGAACGTCCGTACAGCTGTTCCCGACATGCTATGCAGTTGGATGGTCAAATGAACGGCGGAAAAGGTTGTAAGTAATCTGAAACGAGGGGAAGTGGCAAACACCGAAGTGCTTGTTGAGACTTTTTAGTGATTGAAAGTACTGAAGTGTTACCTGGCACATAGAAATCAGGTACGATCTTTTCTACTGGTTTCAACCACTGGTTGGCCCAGTTCTCAAAAACACAGAGAAACCCCCCTATGATTAAAACAGGAGAATCAATCTGATTAACAATATGTCCACGACTCAACGCTGTATAATCACGAGACGTCTACGTGAAGCTGGAAAACAGCTAACTTGAGGAAACCAGGTAGGTTTTGAACTTCGAGGTAGGTGCATTGACCAGATGCTCATCCTCCGCCAGGATCTTGGACACAGGCACACTTACTGGCACCCGATATTAACTGTTCGTCAACTTGATAACAGAATCCCACTTCATGGATCGGGAGGTATTGTGGTAGTTCTCACTGAAAGAAGAGAGGGTAAGTAAACCACTCTGTCGAGTACTGTATTCGAAGGCCAACAGACCTGCTAGAACCTGTCAGTTTTGTGTGTCGAGTGGTGTCCACCTTCTCCACTTTTAATTCATTTTGCGATGGATATGCTTGTGAAGGTCCCTCTCACTTGTTTCGTCGACTTTACAGTGAGTGACTTTGTCAAAGGTGTCTCTTCATCATAAGACAGTAATTACAGGTCGTCCCATGTTGATGCTATCCACCTAACTCAAACAACCACAGCCCTGTAAGAGATTAATGTAGGGTTGTTGTACTTTGCGCTCGCCAAGTATATCCACTCTCACCGTCCCTTTTCAACTTTGTTACAGATATGTTAATAGAGGCTAACGTGATAAGTGAAATTCGTAGTTACACACTCTAGATGTTATGGCTTCACATCTATCACTGCGATGCGACCGAAACAAGTCCATACATTGATATGTGGTGCAATACCCACCTTTCTAAAGACAAAAGAACCAAACAAATCATGAATTTGGAAAACTTTAATTCGGTGTCTTTATAAAAAATATGAAGTGAAGCATATTTTTATGGGTTATTATTTTAGTTTTATAAGAATAGATGAGCAGTATGACAGACAAATATTCACTGGTATGCTTAGAGTAAACTCATCGCACATATTTACTCGGGTGGGGTATAGCCTCCACCAAATGTAGCAGACCAACCATTCAGAGGCCACTTTATGAACCTGTCAGATTCCATGAAAGCTTTGATTTTTGGTAAATTCTATCAGAAAAATAAAACACAAAATACATATGTCAGTCAACTTCGAATCACAAGAGAATGATGATATGTACCTCACACTAATTTTATAGACTTACCTCAATACGCTGTTTGAAGGCTATCAGATGAGATAGTCATCTAAACAGTTGGGTTCCATATACGAAACCACATCAAGTGCTTCGTAGAACATGAAGTCAGGATGTGTCACCTAAAACAATAGAATTTCAAAATGTACGTTTCAAACTCTTTCTATCGAATAACATTGGCTTCAGATGCAAATTACAAGTAGTATTCAAGTGCGAATATGATGCACTATAAGTAAAAACACTTCGATTAAAAGCTGTTAATATGGTGAACAGATCAACGGTTAATAATTAATATCATCAAAAATATGCGTTGCGCATAACACAGTTGAAAAGAAAATTCAACCAAAAACTCTGCTGACTTAGTCAACAAGCGAAAATCCTTGCTCATCCTTTGTGTCGAACTTAAGACAAGCGAGCGAGCGAACAAGCAAACAATTACCTCATCAAACTCATCAGTTGTAACTTTATGAGAATAGATGAAGTACAACAGCCAGTGTACAGCGTAATATAAAATTATTCCAATGCTGAAACAGTCAGTATTATAAGTAAAATAGAGATGAAATCAAATGGATATACGTTCTTCTCACGCGAAACAGTAATCAGTCTGGCGTCAGTTGTGCGATGAAATTAAAATAAACAAACGAAATCTAGAGATAACGATACACTTAAATACAGCCATCTAGCGTGTGAATATGTATGCATATTTAATAAACATCAAGCAATCATTATGTGCTGATGAGTTATATTCAAGTAGTTGAGTGAAAAATTATTTGTTTACAATAACGAAATAACAGATGTAAACTGTTACATGAGAGTCAAAAATGACTGCTGGTAACAGTATGAATAAACAACGACATAAAAACGATGGAATATGAAAATAAAAGTTTATCAGTGAAATGAGGGAGGTGAAGTAAGAGATAGAAAGTTAAAATGTGAAACTCGTGGTAGAAAAGTTCACAAAGAACGCACTCACCCTATTGGTGAACTTTGGTAGACAAAGTGGATGCGCATATTTCCTTTGAATACATACATCAAGTTTACTGATGTTGATTCCTTGGGTTTCAGATATAGGTAACAGGTGTAGTTGTGACCCCTTGGGGAGATTGTATGGAACACGATACACCATAAAAAAGGCACGATCTATCTTGATTCCATGTCCATTATTTACTAAATATGAACTATTTATGCACTTTGTCATTCTTTTCCCTAGTCACACTGATACATCTTCATGAGTGCGCATGGATAGAGACCTCTAAGTATAACCCGCGTAACTAGCTCCATGGGAGCAGTAGAACTAATAAAAATACACATTGAAGTGGCCATCATTGGTAACCTATCCTTGGCTCCTTGTGTCAATAATGGTTTCGGTTGAGGAGCTTATAAGAAGTTTCGCTGTAGTAAAAGTCCTTGCGACAGATCTACTCGATCAGGGTGCTAAAATATATCAAAGGCAATGTCACCTTTGAAACTTAGTCTAAAGTACAAAAGTCTCTTAGTGACGTTACTGTCCTTCACATCTTAAACATGCATTTATTTATGAAGTTTACTGGATAACCATTTTGATGCAGTGCTATCTTCAGCTTATCCATTTCGTCTTCCACATAGTCCTCCGACACAGACACTGTATATTCTGCAACTCAGACATTTGACTAGGCTTCTTTTGGACTGCATTGGTGTGAAACTATGAAAACGAATGCATTGACTGGTTCATGTGTTTTTTCTAACGTCCACTCTTATCTATAAAGTTCACCTAAGGAAGAACAGGGGAATAGTATGTTATTCATAAATGTCCACCTCATCAGGAAGATATATAGGTATACTAAGAGGAATATTATTAGGAAGAACACATGTATCGGTCAATATATTTAATTTCATAGCTTAACACCAATTCAGTCCGCAAGAAGTCTAGTCAAATGTCTGAGTTGAAGAATACGAAGTATGTGTAGGAGGACTGTGTGAAAGACGAAATGGATAAGCTAAAGATAGCAAAGCATCAAATGGTTATCCAGTAAACTTCATAAATAAAGCGCATGTTAAAACCTAAAGAGATGGATGAGAAAGAAGGCTAACATCGTTAAAAGACCTTTGTACCTTGGACTAAGTTTCAACAGAGAAAAATGGCTAATTTCGATACCTTAACAAAAATTACATCCATTTGACTCCATCTCTATTTACCCACAACATTGACTGTTTCAATAGTGAAATAATCTTACCTTACACCGTACACTGGCTATTGTACCTCATTATTTCTCATGGAGTTATAACTGCAGAGTCTGATGAGGAAGTTATTGGAAACAATTGGTCGCTCAAACTACTCTTCTTCTCAATAATCTATGCAAACCTTTAAATTACTGGATACATTGTTGTTTCAGATTACTGAGATATGAGTCACACCCAGGAATGAATGTCTGAGGCCTATTCACTATCAGTTGAATAAACTTGTACAAACGCAAACTAACCAGTTGTGGAATTATCCTTTCATAATTTATAAGGCAACTGACTACACATTCACTAGTGAGTAAGCTTTACTTCATCACAAAGTACAGCGTATTTTATTTCCTTGAATAACATGTACATGATTATTTGTTGTTTCTATCATTCATTTAGATAGCTACTTTAGAATTATCATCACTCACATAGACACCATATGAACGTAGTCAGTCTAACTGAAATCTATATACCTTTGTGTTTAAACCGAATCACTTCAAGCAAGGTAGCTGAGTATCTGGCCAATCAACTCATCGATAGTCTCTGAACATGGTGGTTTTGCCGACTTTTTGAATGTTACTTAGTAGATAACATAAAGCTGATTAGAATGTTTTCTCTCACCATAGAGTAGTATCACTGAACGTCACTAACCAGTAACTCCTGTCATCTCAAAGAATTTAGTCAGGCAGCGCCACCTCCTCTACATGGCTCAGATCACCATCACTCATAGACTTAGTGTACTGGTGTCGTGTCTTGCTCTGATCACCCTTATTGATTAGATCCATAGAAATTCAATGCATTTTCTCGTATTTTGTAGACTTCAGGACCGACATTTGACGTGATAGGATTGAGCATTGGCCGAGAGTTTTATACAGGAAACAAACTTTAGCAAACCCACTGAAGTATAAAAGTGAACTTCTGGCATTTCACGACCTTATGGAAACACCTTTTTCAGTCTAAGAACTGTACGTTATCAAACGTTTAAATAATCAGTAGAAATATACAGTCACTTATACAGGTCTAATCCTCTAAAGAAGCAGTTTCTACAACGTCACGAAAAGGCACAAGTTCACTTTTCTATTGCATTGGAATTCGAAAAATACTTTCCCCTTAGAGGTCCTTGTAACGCAAAGCGAAAAGACAAAAGATGACGGATTCCAGTCTTTAGTTTTCGCAGCAAACGAAATATAAAAGGATGAACAAGACCTGTAATTAACCAAACATTTAACAGTAACAACTTATCACGTAAAGTATTTACTTAAAGTATTGAATTATTAAATATGGAATTCAGGTTATTCTATAGAAATCCAGTAGCTTACAGAATTTCCACTTAAATAAGGCTTGTCAGATAAACGTTCATTAAACGTCTTCAGCATCCCGTTTAGTTTCTTCAAGAAATCAACCTTCAGTATTTCCTTGGCAAAGGGTAAATAAAACCAAGACAGCTTACATAATTATCGTCATAAGCGATTTTAGAAGCACCACTTGAAATGTCAACGACTGCACCTTCCAGCATTGAAATCTCCGCGCGTTCTTTCGGATTATTTCCCACTATGAAAAATAAGTGATAAAAGCAATATTGACCTACACATGTTGTGTTTATCAGCAATGTAACGCATGATTGCCAAAGACTGTGTTATTTTAACGTCACCATCGATGAAGTAGGGGAGCTGGGATTTTGTAACGAAATTAGTGTCATCCAAGTCTTACATTGGGGAACTCCAAACCCAAGTTGAACTTATCTTCCTGCCATTTCTCCCATCCATCCTCTCCATAGGAGTTTTCTTCATATTCATCGCCTAGATATTCCAAGAGAAGTCGGATAGGCTGTCCTAACTGAAAAACAAAAATCAAGATTTAGAATTCTTTGTTACTTTGTGTTATGCTACCTGGTCTAGTTTTAAAATGAATGTCCAGTTGTCCAGATTAAAGTCTATCGGCTTAAAATAAGTGAAAATCGACTAAATCCATAAATTGTGTGATCTAAAGTGAATTAATTCCTAATAAATAAACCTGAAACAAACACCAGAATTCTAAAGTAAGGAGTACTAGAATGAAATAATATTACAGAGTGAGGTTAATTGACGTTGAGCATATCTTGCAAAAACCCGACGTTAGAACCTGTATTTGATCCAACGAAAACGATGACTAGGAAATGTCAAACGGAACACATTTCACGTTTAAGTATGGCAAATGACCAAAATGCTAGGGTTTACATCCTCAGACACTGGCAAAAATTGGACCAAGTAAGCATTTTGGAGTTTCCCATATCTTCATAATCAGTGTAACAGCTAAGATATCGCCTGAACATTTAGACTGAAGCAACCAACAATCGTAAGAAACCACTACCCTATACTTCTGCTTGAAGTCTAATCCACAAAGTGACAAAGCAACAATTGTTCGACGCCTGAAATATCCTTCCAACTGTTGATACTAGACTGTACTTTTCATACATAGTTTGACAATGAGTTGATTAATGTTCTACTACCAAGTTAAATTGATCCAGTCGTAAGATTGAAGGTAAGCATGACACTATAGAATTTCGCCATCGTTGAGAAATTTCTATATCACCTTAAACAAAAAGATGGTAACGTTTTCTTAGTTTTAATGCGAAAATGAAAGAAAATCATGGCAGACATGTTTAAACGATGCTCAGGACCTCACCTAGGTTTCTGACTACTCCTTACTGCTTGAAGTAGATGTACGTATTAAATATTCTTCCGAGTGACCTCATGACATCAAACCACCTGAACTGAGATAGGGACCTGAATAAGTAGTCAAGCAGCCTCCTGTCACATCTAAATTATTTGTATGAACCTCTGTGGAGTGATTTCAGAATAAGACTTGAAACCAAAATCAGACCTCAGGGTCATGGAGTTGGGTAATCGGCTGAAACCTACAAGTTTCGATGTACAAAACTTGGAGACCAGATCAAAAAGCGGCGCTGGCGCTGGGAAAGGGAGTTACTTCAGGCTTCTTTGATGCTGTAAGTCCTTGGGTGCCGTATGCTTACCCAAAATTATTAAATGACAAGTTTTACAGGACAAAACTCAAGCATAGTAGAGAACGAATTTACTGCTCATAATTGTCTTGCTCGGGAATTTCAGGCTAATGAAAAGCCCGCAGAGTTGACAAATAAGCGAGATGATCGTATGAAAAGGTTCCCTTCGACCTCGTCAAAACCATCTAAATTCTGCATAAACCTATCAGCAACATCCTCTCAATGACCCAAAGCTTTCTAGGATTGACTTACAGTCATTTAAACGCGACCGGTCAGCTTTATGACACCTGGCAGTAGTTTCATAACGACAAAGTTATATAGCTTAGCCAGTATTTACATTCACGACCAAACTATGTAGATGGACCCAGCTAGCATTAGCTCTGGGCGCACACTGAGTTTGGGGCAAAAACCTGAAAATTTTACTTCGGGCGCATATGGGGAGACTCACGATATTCCCCGAAGTTTCCAAACATTTTACCCGAAACTGTCGAAAGTTACAAAGTGCGTCCAGTTTGTATGCAATGCGCCCAAAGTTCACAAAGTGTAGGCAGTGCGCCCTAAGTTTTGGAATAACCTATATTCACAGTTCCGAGAAGCTATATTTGGTAATATTCTTATATATCGTTGACGTTGCATTGCCGCACATGTTTGTGCATTACAAATCAATGGAATGGAAACGGCCAACGGAAATCATCGAAGAATTTAAGGGACATTCAAAATTTAGTAGGTGTAACCGAAGTCACTTCGGGATAAAACCCGAAAGTTCCAAGGTGCGCCCGAAGTACATGCTAGCTGGGGAACTGACTGTCTAACGATTGATGAATATATTTCCTACAATAGTCAATTGCACCCAAGGTTTGTCCACATTACAGTAAAACTCTAGGGAATTAAGGTACTGTCTAGTATGAAAACTTTCATCCTAAACATAATTTTCCATTTGAATTCATTTAGGACAGATGAAAAATGCAGCGGCTTGGTAGAATAGGAGTGATATTTATATCTTTTCGGCATGCCCTGATACCTTATCATAAATGAGTCTTCACTTACCCCTCTGAGCTTCCAGTAGACCAGTTTTGCAGGCATTGGCGACACTTTTTGATTTAGCGCTTAATAAATTTCGTGGTTCTCGTGGTGCACTAAAACATCTTCAACCTTTCATTATCCAATATCTTCTTGGCAAGTATAAGAACTGACATCTTTGGAACTCTCGCATCCAGGTTTTGGAACTAGATAATTTTCTCTGGTCTTAATCCTTCCGTAGGTGAGGATTTTTTTTTTGCTTTCTTGCGTTTAGTCCTTAAGTATGTGGGTATTTATGGGTTTCTTCTCTTTGTATTTTGTAGACTGGGTGTGTGAAGAGCTGCCGAGCCACTGGAGAGATTGGTGTTCCCCTTGAGAACCCCATCGGCTTGATATCTCAGAGCCACACAAGTTATTGTGAATTAGACAATAAAGTAGAGGGAGAAAGAGAAATAGAAGAAATGAGGGTCTGTGTACAGTAATGTTGACTGCAGTTGGAAAGTCAAGACTATGGAAAGGATCAAGTGGAAGTACGCATGTGTAATGATGGATTAGGATAGTCAGGAGCTCCCTGTGCAGGTTAGTAGTAAATTGTGCCCTCCACAGTGCTTTCGATATTTGTCCTGTTGCGACACTGACAGACGCAGATGCTAATAACTAATTTTTTGAACTTGTTGTATACCCACGAATATGAGACCAAGAAAGAATACAATGTTGTAGTCGGATGGAACGGTATATTTGCGACGCCGATGCGTTCTAACTAACTGACTACAGGGTCGATTACGAGCAGTGCAATCTAACACGACAACGTGCCAAATGCTGAGGATACTCGACCGGGTGCCTTCAGCTTGACGAGTCCGGTGAAACCGTCAAGGCCAGCATCAATGTTGAATTTCTCCGAACCCCAGGCCATTGATTCTGTAGGCGTTTGTGACACTACACATCACTCGCCCCCCTAGTGGGTTCTGCGGGACCCTAAGACAATACCAGCCAGAAGTGAAAAACCAGTCGTTTCTCCACTCGTATAACTCTTACGATAGGTTAACCGTGAGAGTTGCCCCCGGCTGTTCGAACTTATTCCAGGGTGCTGTGGCGAATAGATAGATGAAATACAATAAATGGGGTTGTGTGTCGACCGCGATACTTAGTTTCGTGTGATGTTCCGTTCAGTGCTCGTTGCACCTGGGACATAAAAAACTCTTTAATACCACGAAGACGTTACGTAAAGGAGGGAAATATTCATTAATAAATACATCGTGTTTAGATTTTGTGCCTGTTCAAATTTTCTCGTTTTGAAAAAATTTCACTACTTTGCAGTAAAAACACTGACATAGGAAGTTAAAATATGGGACGATTTTCTCACTAACAGCAAATAAAACAAATAGTGCGCGGATAAAATAATTTCGAATTAAAAGTTGCTGACAAATTTCGTTTAACATTACTTATTTCAGCATGACTTTAAATACTCCGGGAACCGTGCGGTTCGACCTGATCGTGTTTTCCGTTGCGCTGATGGTTGTTGCAACTGTGCATTACCAGGGACATCGTCAAGAATTTCGACAATTGAGCAATCCTCCGGTCGGCTATAGCGAGCTGAAATGTCACTTATTGTTGGGTTACCTTCGGAGAAAGCTGGTTTCAAACGTTCGATACTAATGGTATCGTCACGTGCGTTTCTCCTGATTATATAGAATTTCTCATGCCGATTGATCACTTTGAATGGTCCATCGTAAGTCGGTTCAAGTGGTCAACGGACGGCATCGTGGTGAGTGGACGCGCGTAATGTCTTTCATAAAACGGGGTGAAAGAAGACATCAGTCGTTTTAGGTCTAGCCGAGAAGGACCAACTGAACGCATCGCGTTTGTAAGCCCAGTTTTGTAAGATTTCCTCTCGAAAATACATTTGAATGTTGAAGAAGAAACAAACTCACCTGGTAGGCGAAGAGTGGTCCCATAGACGAGTTCTGCAGAGGTGCACCCAGCATCAGCTTTCAACGCATTAAGAATACCCAGCAGTACTGAGGGCGGAGCCTCGGTCCACTGAGGTACGTTGGCAGCTGAAAGGGAAGCTTTCAGCTGTCGGTGGAGACGCTCTACCATGCCATTTGCTTGTGGATGGTAGGCTGTCGTTCGGAACCGGGTACAACCCAAAAGTGCCGTTATAGCGTGAAATAATCCGCACTCAAATTGGCGCCCACGGTTGGTTGTGACGTAAGATGGACATCCGAAGTTCGCGATCCATCTTTCTACGAAAACACGAGCTGCTGTTTCAGCAGCAATATCCTCAATAGGTACTGCTTCCGGCCATCGTGTAAAACGATCCACACAGGTGAAAAGGTGAGCACATCCATTGGATTCTGGTAGGCGTCCCACAACATCTATATGCACGTGGTCGAAACGCATGTCTGGGGCTGGAAAAGAGCCTAAGGGGCTTTTCGTGTGTCGCGTGACTTTGCAATTTTCGCAAGCTAAGCACGACTGAGCCCATTCCTTAACGTCTTTGTTCATCACAGGCCAGCAGAAACGTCGTGCGATAAGCCTAATGGTGGCTCGCACACCTGGATGAGAGAGTTTGTGCAACGTATTGGAGACAACTCTTCGGAACTATTGGGCGTGGTTGACTGGCAGAGACGTCGCACGAAATTGTATGCTTGTCTGATCCAACCGGACAAAGTCGCAGCTTGAGAGTTGTGGACGACAACTCATGATGCAGCTCAAGGTCTTCCTCTTGACGCCGAGCTAGTTCAACGAGGTCAACGCCCTCGAAATGATTTATCGGAGCTATTCATGACAGTGCATCGGCTACGAAGTTATTTGCTCCAGAAATGTGGCGGATGTCTGACGTGAACTGGGAAATGTAATCCAGCTGTCGCGACTCACGTGGGGAGTATTTGTCGGACGCCGAGCTGAGGGAAAACGTTAACGGTTTGTGGTCTGTGAAAATAGTGAAATCACGACCTTCCACCGAATGTCGAAAGTGGCGTACAGAACAGTACATGGCCAGGAGTTCCCTACCAAATGTACTGTACCTTGTTTCCACATCTTGCAGCCGCCTGGAGAAAAAGGCTAACGGTTGCCACTGGTTGTCAGTCAATTGTTGCAAAACTGCTCCAATTGCTGAATCAGATGCATCAACAGCAATACTCAAAGGAGCGTTGGGGTCGTGACGCATAAGCATGGTTGCATTTGAAATGGCTTCCTTGACTCTAAATAAGACAAGTCTAGCCTTGCTGTCTAGACTCGTGCACTTCGTGGCCTCTCGAGGCAGATTTGCTAGCGGTCGGGAATAAACCTTCGGTAATAACTTACCAGGCCGTTGAAAGTGCGGAGATGTTCCACGGTGGTCGGCTCTGGATAGTTCATGCCAGTCGCCACTTTATCTCTCAATGGGTGTATACCTTTGTTGTCGATGGTATGCCCAAGGAAGCTGAGTGATTCAACTCCTATTTTACAGTTCTGCAAGTTGACTGTGATGCCGTGTTTTTTAGTCTACTGAATACGAGGCCCAAATGTTTAAGATGAGTTTCCTTATCTGGACTGGCAATTAGACAGTCATCGATGTAGACATGAACAAAATTCAAACCACGGAAGACATCATCCATAAAGCGTTGGAATGTCTATGCTGCATTCCGAAGACCAAATGGCATGCGCAGGAATTC